GTTGAACAAGGGCAAGAATTAGTTCCAAAAGATGAAACCCATCCCATAAATCTCAATGATTCACCTAATCAGATGATGATTCTCGATGATTCATCACAGATTGAAGCCATCGATGAGGGCAAAGAGGAACAAAAAGTGAAGGCTAAAATGGAATAATGGGTTTTTGTTAGATGAGGGCAAAGAGGAACAAAAAGTGAAGGTTAAAATGGAATAATGGGTTTTTGTTAGATGAGGGTTAAAATGGTAATTTATTGTCATTCAGAGAACAGTTACCAAACAACATTATTTCATTCAACACTTAACCATTCTGACCCTCTTAACTATTCTGACCTCTTAACTATTATGTACTAAATCATTCAGTAACTGCCAAACAGCCCCTTAGGAATTTTTGTGGTCCAACAGAGTTTCCAAAATGTTATCCAAAATGGAGAATGAGAAAAGTATGAGAGAGACGGTAAAAATTTTCTGAAAATTTGAAGAAATTTCCAAAAATTATTAATTGGGAGGGAAAATAATATTTACTATTTATACCAATAAAAGTATTTGAAATTGAATATTTAGGCAAATTTTTCACGACAAAGCTATTTCAGCCTTTCGGACAGTAAAGGGTTCAATGTCACTATAGTAACTTTGGCCAACACACAAGATGAGACTTTACCACTGTAGAGCCCATGCCGTAAACAATGAGTGTTCGCCCTTGGGCTACACGGATCAGGGGCCTAGCTAACGCGTCCAACCTCGATGGTATTGAATGCTCTTTCCATCCAAGCATGTGAGCCTGGAAACACATTTTCAAATACGCCAACAAGAAGCTATGGTCTAACACTTGCCTCTTCTTTTTGAGGAAGAGAATCAAGGATGAACGTTTTTTTTCATTCGCTATGCGTTGGCTGGACGCGTACTCGCAACAGTGACAAATGTTACCTACTTTCGGTGGACGTGGAGGCTTGGAGTTACATATCCCTAAAGAGAAGTAGACGAGCAAAAAAGTCGTATGCGAAGGAGATGCATTTCTGGTACTGGTGGTATTGGAAAATTTGATTTGATCAAAGCAGAGAAAGCTCGCCTTCTTGTGAGCGCATTTGGATCCACGAAGGAAAGCGCAGGCTCGTAGAGGTCCACTTTGTAAGTTTGATGAGCAGGCTAGAGTAATAATATACTCATATGAAGACATTAGAATAGAAGAACGAGAATTTCAAACATGGGAAAACTGCTATCAACATCAATGACATTCTTAATTAGTACCAGTTTCCACAAAAAAAAAAACACCCATTTTCAAGGTGAAAGCTTTGAACATTCGCTTTGATCGGGTTCCTAGCCCAAAGGTCCGGAGTTACTGCATTTGAACCTCCATGGCCACAAGAGGATTTTTATTCCTTCTTAGATTTGAATATGAGATCTCCTGGTACTTTTGACATTTGGAGTCAAACTCAAACCAATCAAGCACCATCCTTTTGGTCAATGTAGTGAATATTTTAATATTATGATTAGTACTGTAATACCTTAAATTGGTATTATTGGAATTAAATATAACTATTTTAATAGATTTTAATTATTTATTTTAGAGAAAATTTTGAAGAATCTGTTTTTGGGGAGGTATTCTTCAAGTTAGACAAAAAAATGCAAAACAAAATGGTAAAAGTGTCTAATAAGAAATAGTTTAGGGACTATATTTGTAAATCACTAAAAGAGAAAACGTTTCGACTTTCGAACCCCTCGTCGATCATCTGAAAGAGGAGCGACCGCTCGCCGACCATTTGAAAGACGAGCTTTCCTCTTCTGACTGCTTCATCGTAATTCAATCGACATCATCAACTGCTATCTGCAAATGCTCTCCACTGGTAAGCTCTTTCATTCGTTTCTAATCGGTTTCTGAATTATAACTTATCGGATTTTATCTCCATAGTGTGTTTTCGACGTGCAGTTATACGGATTCTTTCAATTTGTATCAGAGATGGAACTTGTTAGCCAAATTCACAACTTCGTAAAACCTCACAGCTCTAATTCGATGGAACACGACATTGAATTGACGAAAATTGTGAATATACTGAAACCCTAATTTGTTTTTTTTTAGTGAAGTGAAGTGATAATCCTTTTGATCGTACATAATGGAATATATAGTTGTAATGTTTCTGTTAGATTTTTTGTTACATGTTTGGTTGGTGGGAAAGAGACTTGAGGAGAGATGAGAAGACATCTAAACGATTGAAAATTATAAAGATATATAATTCTATTGTGAAGGGTTAATTACTGGTTCCAAACTTCAGTAGGAAGTTTCAACTTTCGAGAAAAATTGAAGGCACTGAACTTTATGAAAAGTATCACTGGTGTTACAGACAAAGGCAATACTAAATTTGCAAGTATAAAGAATTTTGCAAATTTTTTGGAAAAATTTGCATGTATAAAGAGTCATTGTGTGGCAGTTTGTTACGACGGTGTAAACTACTAGCTTTCAATGAACATAATTTCTTTGGTAGTAACTCAAATCCCCTATCTTATAGTAACTCAAATCCCCTATCGTAGTAACTCAAATCTTGTATGTGATAAATTGTGCTTCAAAACATGAACATTGAATGCTTGTTGCACACTTTCTGTGCAATGGCATATTAGGAACTTTGTTATCTTTTCGTTATTGCTGTAATAATAGCGAAGGAAAGAGAAGAGTTGTTGAACTAATGGTTCAGTGACTTGTTTCTTGGACCATCATGTTTAATTGTTTAGTTTTTGAGATAAGAAATGTAGCCTTGGGGGATTCTAGATTGTGAACAAAATAAAAGAACGATCAGGTTGGAAAATGATGACTTTGATCCCTAAAGTTGAACAGTGTATTGTTTACGGTCTTTGAAAAGAAGAGGAGTGGCGGGGGGTGAAAATCATGTTTTAACATTGCTCTAGGTTTTTAATTCACAAAAAAGCTATACTGGGGAAGATTTTTGGAAGAAACTTAGCTTGTTATTAAGCCAAATTCAAGATGACAAGTGTTAGTTATATGTAATGGTTCTATGCCGTTTCAGTTAACCATTGACATGTAATCTTTTAATAGTTAAGAGGCTATAAATCCAATAGCAGTAATCGTTTTTCTTTGGATAAACTCATAAAAGTAATGAGCTTTCATATGTGAAGTTAGGCTTTTTCCGGGAAACTAATCCTCTAGACGTGACAGCCATTTAATCAGAAATTCAATACTTGACTTGATGGGAAGATGGATCTGAAGTAGGAAGATAAGCATTCATTTGGCGTGTTATGTCGTCAAATCCTTTAGCCATATTGGCAGCGTGTTCCGCCTTTTATCATCTTGGAAGGATTTGGATCATAGTGTTATTTTGATTCAGTCCGCAACAGACTCTGAGGTATTTCTTAAAATTTGTTCTTCTCGGTTTCAATTTATAATTAGAATTGCAAATTACGAAGGACCTATAATTGAATATTTTCAGATCAAATTTACATACTAAAGCTTATTCTTCAAAGGGTGCCTGCCTGATGAGGTATTTGGTTTTGCTTTTAACCAGGAAATGCCTCGCAAAGTAACATATGGAGTTGATTTTGATGATGACTATGATATTTACGATGATTATCATGACGACAATTACAATTATGATTATGGCAATGGCGTAGATGAACATGACTCAGGTAATTGATCTTCGACTTGCAATTTTCTTATGAGCTTATCAATAGCCATGCAATTCTACTTTACTTTTCATCTCTTCATATATGAGGTGATTAAGGGAACTTGTTCACTTACTATTTAAATAATTCTTTTTTCTATATCATATCTGCAATGATGTTGATGAGTAGTCATATAGTGACTATGACTTCTCATGGTTGTTTGCGATAAGATGTCACATGATGCAATTCTGAGTTGGATGACTCTTCTGTTGCTTAGCGATGATAACAAAATACTTGTTCATCTGCGTAGTTATATATTTATTTTCCTCGCATATTGGTGTTACACTCCATCTAAGGCAGCCTTTTGAACTTAAAGAATTTGGATACAGTGGGAGGCCACCATTAGGGTTTTGAATTTAGCCAATGTATCTGCCATATATATGAATTTAATCCAGAGTTGTTCTATCTCTTTCATCTGTATCCATAGAAACTTGGGTTCACAATCTGCTTTGAGGGATTTCCTCTTACATCCTTATTCTATTTTTTTTTTTGACTGAGTTGGTTTTTGGTGAGGTTAACTGTAGCTGTATACCAATCACAGTATAGATTGCATGGTCACCTGTTTACATTTCCTCGTATGTGCAAGCTAGCAATGTCTAAATACCTAACCTGTTGGTTGAACTGGTAAGAAAACTGGTTTGGGCCAATCCAGAAAACTCAATAATAAAATAACTCGCTTAAAATCGGTGCCTAACAGTTCAACCATTTAACCTGGGGTGCAGTTCATTGGTTCACCATTTTTACTAAAATGTAGAAGTTATACATAGTTTTCATCTACTCCTCTTTTCAAAATATTTTTTATGTCTTGGGTTATTTTTTCTTTTAACACTAAACGTTTGTAAACTGATTGTTACTCTTTCAGTCTCCATGTTCTGTTTATTGCCGTTTAAATGATCGTTATGTTATCTCAGAATTTGAAAATAAAATTATACCATATTCTATCATTTTGTAGAAAAATCTAAATCGTGATGTTGTTTAATTACTAATTGAATATTAGCATGATCATATACGATACGGTTTTTGTAGTATTGACATCTTGAGTTAACAGCTGTCCAAGCAAGTTTGAGACAGTCACATGTTAGACCTGTAACTTTTCTGGATCAATAATGGTCCGTGTTTTTAAAGCATAGTATGCAAGTGATGTAATTTATATGAAACACGTGTATTATGATTACAAACTTCCATTTATGAGTTACTGTATTTAATCAACCCAATGTTACCATTTTCTTGACGAGAGCATTGATTTCCTTGTTACTATTGATTTGGTGTCTTACGAGAAACGGAAAAAGACATTTGGTATGGATGGTTTACATAAAATAAAGATCATCAAGCCATCATAAGTTTCTGAATTTGCTACGCTCAATCCAATTAGTTGTGTCTTGTGACTTGGACACTTGTTTACAGCTTGGGAATCTCCTGACACAAGACAAGAAAGTGTTCGGCAAAATGTTTGGCGCTGCCCCATATGCACATTTGATAACGAGGAATATATGTCTGCGTGTGATATATGTGGCGTTCTTCGCAACCCTCTGGTCAGAAGTTCTGATAACGGCCAATCCAGTACAGGTATGCATCTGCTTGTTTTTTTCATGCCATCATAAATGAATTTATATCTATTCTGTCCCATTACTTGCCATGGGTTGTCAACTTACTAATATTTGTGGAGCTGCGTACTTTTATCATACCTGTCTAATATATATGCACCAGCTTGTGCTTAATAATAACTTGAAAGTCAGGGAACTAGGACCTTTTTTTTAAGTAGGTTTCTTCTCCTCTCCTAGCGTCTTCATAGATTAGATTTTTTCAATGCAGTTGGTGGCATATGCACGAACTCTGGAGTATCGGTGATGGCAAAGTCTCTTTTTGCATCATTGCCATGTCGGTCACCCAAAGGGGCTGTTAACTTTCAACCACAGAAAGATGCTTCTTCAGCAGAAGAGGACAAATTCTCCTACTTGCACGGAAATAATCGAGGAAAATTCCATGATTTACATAAGGCCATTATCTCTGAAAAACAATACAAGGTTAACATAGGTTTGCACATGCTCTTAACATAGATGGCCATCTACGAGACATATATTCCTCATTAATGAAGGAATTTTTGTCAGACTAGTATATCCCTTCTTTCGTATGAAGTGATATCGAATAACTAATTTGCTTCAGTGACCCCTTGACCTTGCCTGTTTTCATTATTACAGCCCCTTTCAAGTTTGATATCCCATCTCCAGATGATGTGGTTTCTATGGGAATGCGATCATACAAAATAGGTTCCAAAGGTACTCTTTTGTCTCCATATGGAGTTCAAGGAACTTCATACCTGTTGAGTTCTTACAACGTCATTCTTTTGAGCGTCAGAAGTTGGCTTGGGAAAAAATATTTACAATTGCACTTCCGTTGGAACTTATTCGACTTCGATGTTGCATGTGTGCTTCTTGACCAAGTCTAGCCTTTTCTTGTTTTAGCGGTGTGGCCTTGCCTCTAAACCGGTCAAGTTTCTTAGTTTACGCTTACCCAAGATATATCATTGGAACACCTTCTAGTCTCCTTTGTTGGTATTTCCTTTTTTTTAGTAAGATAAAAAATAGAGGTAGCTGTGAGATAACCTCTAAGACAAGGTTTTTAAAGGCAGAGTTGGGCCTCGAGGCGTTTTCCCTTAATGAGGCGAGGTGTAAGCCCCAAGGCGGAACTATATATACACCAAAATATGTAATATATACTACAAAAATATATACACATTTATATACAATATATATTATACTAAATTACTAAGGGCACTGGTTCAGGGGTTCTTGATAGAAGAAAGAGCGAAACCGTGAAATAGGCTGAGAGGGTGTGCTCCCCTTGGAACTTGGTATATTTGACGCGATCAAGCATGTTTCTGGAAACATGGTTGCTTGGAGGAAAAGGAAGAGTCAAACCGCACTTTCTGATTGAGAGGAGAAAATACTAGCTTTTTGGGTTTTAAATTATTAAAAGTACACAGCGGGGCCACTGGGCTTTGACTTTTAGTTTTCTAAAATAAAAGAAGACAATTATACTATGAAGAGAAGTACTACTATTGCCATAAAGCTTATAGAAAAAGCCAAAAAGACCATTACCAAAGCAGATCCTCAGTACGCCTCGATACCGCCTCACCGAACCGCCTCACTGAACCAAGGCGTAAGCGTCGTCCAGGGTCCAAGAGGGACCGCCTCCGGTGCAGTTTTGGGCTACCTCGCCTCGAGAAGTATGCCTCAAACGATTTTTAAAACCATGCTCTAGGATGAAATACTGCTTCTTGTTTAAGATTGAGAGGTTTATGGTCATTGTTGCGATTGGTTTGATTGAATCATGGAAGAAAATATGCTTTCCAACTAAAGACACACACACGTGATGCATATTAACATGTAGATGTTTACTTGTATGTGTTTCATGAGTTGGAACATGTTCATTGTCAGATGATATCAACCATCCCAGCTCTATAATGTTGTTGCTTTGTCTGATTTGATTTTTGTTATACACAGAGAAATAATCTTAGCCAAGATTCGTTATTTTTCTTTATAACATCTGATATGCTCAATCTTTTTTCCAAATAGTTGCATTTGATTTGAAGAAACCGTCAACTTCTGATGCTTCTTCCAGCAAAGCTAAGGACAATGCCAACTTGAAGTCAAGTGCTAAATCTTCCAACATCTCAGCACCTTTGCTTTCAAAGGATAAATTTGAATATGTGGATGATGACAGTCATGTTCCCATATCTAAGACACAAACACATGGGCTTTCCAGTGACTTGAACAGTATAACCATGAGTGCCAAATCTGGGAATTCCAAAATCCGAAACCAGGGGAAAATTGCTCTCCGTTCACAGTATAAACCTGAGAAGTGGATGCTGCTTGACCAAACTGAAGATCAACTGAGTCAGCTAAATCTTGCTATTGTAAGTGTTCTACAATGTAGTTTTACAAAATGCTTTAGTTAAGTGAGATTTAATCTGCTGAGAACTGCGTTAGAGCTGATCATTTGCGGGTTTGGGCTGTCCCAAACCTATTTTTTTGTCCAACAGGCCTATTATAGCAAACCCAAGCCCTTTTTTACGTGCTTGAAAACTTGCCTTTACCCGCCCATAAACGGGCCAGGCTTGTCCACGAGCTAACGGACCTAAAAAAATCTTTTTATATTTTTCAGATCACAAGCTATTGAAATACATAACTTATATAATATCACAAGTTATGTAAAATAATTCAAAATACATAACAATTTTTCCAACTTAAAACTAAAAGTAAATACATAACAATGTACATGATTTAGAAAAAAAGAAAATTTTTAATTATAAAAGTTAATTATTATAGAAACATTATCGGGCCGGCGGGCCTGCCCCATTTTGTTGCATCGCCCGTGCCCGCCCATTAATTTTAACAAGTCAGTCCAGGCCCAACCATTTATTCGAGAATGGTAGTCCAAGCCCGCTTTTCTTGCGGGCCGGACAAGGTCTAGCGGGTCGTCTCGCCCATGAACAGGTCTAAACTGCGTAGAAGATGTGCCAAGCTAAGGTCATGCTGACAACTTCTATCTGATATTTGCAGGTTGGCCATGTGGATTCTGGAAAATCGACACTCTCAGGAAGGCTGCTACATCTTCTGGGGAAAATATCACAGAAACAAATGCACAAATATGAAAAGGAGGCTAAATTACAGGTATGGTTGGTTAGTGTGTTTACTAACGTTGCGTTTGGCATCTAGACTGACATGACATAACAGAATAGGGCAGACAGAACTAGACACGACAAAACAGATAAAATGACTGATTAACCCCTAACGAGTTGTTTATATCTTACATATATTTTGATTAATTTATGAATTATGATAAAATAAATATTTTTATAACAAAATATATCATTAGAAAGTTTTCTTCAAGATGATTAAAATGACACCAAAACAAATTTTTTATGTAGTTTCCAAATTTTATTTTATACCCTTTATTATTAATATTTAATAAATTACATAAATTAACCAAAATATAGAAACCGGATAAAAAATGATATTTTGATGACTGTAAAGTGAAAGTTTAAAGAGCATAAAATACAATAAATAATATTTTAAAAATAAATAAAAGGTAAAGAGGGAGGTGTATTTGATGTTTTAGAAGAGAATTATGTTTTATTTTTAAGGTTATATTGGTAAAATATAAGTATGTTCCACTTTGTTCCATGGGGTCGGGGTGGAACACGCCTGTTCCACTTTGATCTTGTCTGTTCCACATAAAAGTTCTGCCATACATGGAACAGTGATCCCTTTTCTGTTATGTCCTGTCCTGTCCAGTGTTCCAAACACACCCTAAAAAGTCCTGCCAAACGTGGAACAATGATCCTTGTTCTGTTCTATCCTGTCCAGTGTGCCAAACACACCCTTTGATGGATTTACGGTTCATATCTCATTTAAAATCAGGGGAAAGGTTCCTTTGCTTATGCATGGGCAATGGATGAGAGTGCCGAAGAACGAGAAAGGGGGATAACCATGACAGTGGGAGTGGCTTTTTTCAACTCCAGTAAATACCATGTTGTGGTGCTCGACTCTCCTGGGCATAAAGATTTCGTTCCAAACATGATCTCCGGGGCAACACAAGCAGATGCAGCAATTCTTGTTATAGATGCATCACTTGGTGCATTTGAAGCAGGCATTGATAGTGCTCGAGGTCAAACAAGGGAGCATGCACAGCTGATTAGAAGTTTTGGCGTTGACCAAATAATTGTGTCTGTTAACAAAATGGACGCCGTTGAATACTCAAAAGAACGTTTTGAGACTATCAAACTGCAACTTGGAGCATTTCTCCGGTCTTGTAACTTCAGAGATTCTTCTGTGTCATGGATTCCATTAAGTGCCATGGAAAACCAAAATTTGGTGGCACCGGCTTCTGATGCACGCTTGTTATCCTGGTTAGTTGTTTGGTTCTTTTAGTTCTTTTACAATGCTATGTTTCTGTTTGGTTTCATGTATATATCACTCCAAATAGTTTGGGATGAATGCAATGATCTAAGCAACATCCTTTTCAGAATTTGTAAATAACAGAGATTAAGGGGGCTTTTGGTTTGCAGAATGGAATTTGGTGGAATTGGAATTCGTCACTATGAAGTAATTGGAATGGAATTTGACGGAATTTGACCATGCATTTGGTTGGTAGGAACTGGACTGGGATCTCCCAAAATAATTGGAATCTCCATTAGTGCCATGGTGATACTGGTGGTTGGAAGTGGGGTGGCAGCTGTGATTAGCAGTGGTATTGGTGGTGGGTGGGTGCCCACTTCCCAACCCTCCTTATCCCCCAGTCACCATGCCTCTATTGTCATTGTCACAACACCACCCCCCGCCACCCCACCCATGTGGGCGTCAGGGGTGGAAGGTGGGTCAGTGGGCGTCAGGGGTGGAAGGTGGGTCAGTGGGCGTCAGGGGTGGGGGCGTGGCAGTGATAATAGTAGCATGGTAGTGGTGGGGCCAGGGGGTGGAATTCAATTCCTTCACTTATGCCAAGGAATGATGAATTCATTAATTTGTGGAATTCAAAGGAATTTAAAGGATCTATACATTTCAAGAAGCGAACCAAACAAAGAATTTGGAATTTGGTTAAAGGAATTTGCCATTTCAATTCCTTCGACTTCCGCGAACCAAATGGCCCCTTAGAGACTACATGTTCTAAATCAGGGCTAGTTGGTTTGCGTAAATCTAATTATCAGTTATTTGATTGTTATGTTTCAGGTACCGCGGGCCTAGTCTGTTGGAAGCTATAGATGCTCTTCAACCTCCTGCTAGAGAATACTCCAAGCCTCTACTAATGCCTATATGCGACGTTATTAAACTGCCATCTCAAGGGCAGGTATCTGCAATCGGGAAGTTAGAAGCTGGAGCTCTTCGTAATGGAAGCAAGGTACATGTCCAAAAATCTTTTTGGTTAGTAGTATTTCCACCATCCTAGAATAAATGCAACAAATTTCTATCTTGGTGTCCCAAACTAATGCAATATTTCTATTTTTTGTTGAAGTTTTCAACCCAAAATTACCTCTTTCTCTGTTGGTAATCATCACAAAAATGATGTCATTGGTTTTGACAGATGGGGTTATCCTATTTTGTCATTATTGAGTGGTGTTCGAGATATTTGACTAAGGGGCTGTTCCTGTATGGATAAAGTTGTCTGTGTGGATTAATCTTTCTGTATAGACTAGGAAGGTTTTTGTTTAGGAGGGTTTTTTCATAGATGGGGAGTGTGTTTTAAAATTGGAGGACAGGTTTAGAAAAAACTTGGGTTTCTGCATAAAGCTCCCCCATAAAACTTATTGAATAAGCCACTTTCTAGTTCCATTAAGCTCATAAAGCTGCTAACAAACAGGCCCTAATAGTCTATACTTCATTTAAATAATATTCCAAATCAAAGGTTGCATTTATTTTGGGACATAGGATCTTGTGGACAAGTGCAAGTTGTACAAACGGAATTGGAATGACATATTCCACAGACTCGATTCAATCGGCTTGTTTGGTTTGCAAAATGGGGGGAATTGAATTCCATTGAAATTAACAAATTTCTTTAGTTAAGGAATTGAACATCTCATTGTTTTAGGTGGCATTCGATTCTATTCCTTCAAAACTTTGTAAAAGGACAAAAATACCCCCGGATTAGTAATATTTTTTTGTTATTATTACTACTACTAGTATTAAGTAATAAATAATAATTTAAAATAATTCTACTATATATATTTATAAAACCAAGCATGAAATTACAAAATATCATTAAGGGTAAATTCTGTCATTTATCTTTATCTACATTAAAATTCAAAAGCTTCACATTGTGAACCAAACACGAAGTTCTAAACAATGGAATCGAATTCCATTTCATTCCCAGCCAACCAAACACGTGGTCGAACTTAGATTTATTCCATACCAAATTCCTCAAATTTCAATTCGTTTGACAAATTGCATTCCTTCAAGAAACGTTTTACAAACCAAATGTCACCTACGTTGGTAGTTTGGCCATTTGGGTGGGTACTTTTTATTGCAAATGACAACTGGAGTTTGTCTGTAACTGCATTGTTTCTTTTCTCACAGTTCCATCCCCTTTACTTATTTAAATGGTTCATTTACATGTGAATACCAATTGGATCAAACTCTTTTTAAGCCGTTGTTCTCCCTTAGTATTAAAAACATAATGAAGGAAAGCTGTTTTGCATTTTATCTCAACCTTCTGAATTCTTGTTCCAGTCTCTTAAATGCTAACAGCTAATGTTGCTATTCCATTTGTGGATTTATAGGTTCTCATTCTGCCTTCAGGAGAGTTTGGAACAGTGCGTTCTTTAGAACGTGATTCTCAGGCATGTGGCATCGCAAGAGCAGGAGACAATGTAGCGGTTAGTCTACAAGGTATCGATGTAAATCATGTGTTATCTGGTGGTGTGTTGTGTCACCCAGATTTCCCAGTGGCAGTCACAAACCATTTGGAGTTAAAGCTCCTTGTTTTGGATGTCCAAATGCCAATTCTGATCGGCTCTCAGGTAATGTTTTTATGCATATTCAGTCTTCTTTATTCGAAACTTCATCACAAGCCGGGGGCTTTCATGGAAAACTGCTCTACTCTTTGGGGGGTAGAGGTCAGATTTGCAAACATCTTAGGGGGTGTTTTCTTACAGCTAAATGAGCGTAATGGTCTCAATGGCTTATTCCCTCAGCCGCAAAGAGTGTTTCTTTACCTTTACGTTAATGGCTGTTTGGCTGGTTTTTTACTATGTCCTGTTTAGATAAAGTTGTCTGTGTGGCTTAATGTCTTTATAGATGGGGAAGGTTTTTGTTTGGAGGTATTTTTTCATAGATGGAAAGAGTGTTTTTTTATTGGGAGTGACAGGTTTGGAAAAAACTTGGCTTTCTGCTTAAAACTCCCCTTAGAAGCTTACTAAATAAGCCACTTTCTATATCATTAAGTCATTACCAAACAGTCATGTATAGCTGAGCGAATAAGCTGTGAGTCCCATTAAGCTCATTAAGCTGCTAACAGACAGCCCTTAATCGTTAATTCATTAAGCCAAAATGGCTATATGGAATAAGCTAGGACCCCTCATTTGTCCTCATTAAGCCACTCAAAATTAATACTAGAAATGCCCCGTAAATAATCCAACCCTCTCTCTTTGCCTCCTTCAAACCCATCGGTTTCTCATCCCTAAGACAAACAAATTTATTCAGATAGACAACCTAACCCATACAGGGCTTAATGGAAAAAAGGTGAACAGCCCCTTACCCTCCCCAGACCCCACCTCTAGGTGGGATATAGTGGGTTCGTTTGGTTTTAATCTTTTTTTGTTGTCGTGTGAGCTCTACATATTTTGACAATTATGTGTTGGAACTACTATATGAGCAGTTGGAGTTTCATATACACCATGCAAAGGAAGTAGCGAAGGTCGCAAAGATAGTGTCATTGTTGGATTCCAAAACGGGGAAGGTAACAAAGAAGGCCCCACGATGTCTATTAGCCAAGCAAAGTGCGATAGTTGAGGTTTGTTCAACCGCTCTTTTCCTTTTTATCTACCACAGAAAGTACTTCGTTCCATAAAACCGCTTATCACAAGTCGAGGGTCTTCAGGGAAATAACTATTTACTCTTTGGAGTATACGTCAAATCTGCATACATCCCACCCTTCCCAGACCCCACTTTTAGGTGGGATATACTGGGGTCGTTGAATTGACCTATTTGTCCTTTGTTATCGTTACCAAAAGTTAATGATGGTGATTTAAGCCTACTAAATTCTTTATTTGTCAGCTAAGATTAGCCTCTTTTAAGTTGCATTCTCTTCACATATGAATAGGTGGTGCTACAAGGGGAAGTTTGTGTGGATGAATTCTCTAATAGCAGAGCTCTTGGGAGGGCATTCCTAAGATCATCAGGGACAACGGTTGCCGTTGGTGTCGTAACCCGAGTTATAGTAGACTAGTAGAAGCGGTCCTCATAACCCGTTCTTTGGTAAACGAGCAGAACTACTTTTCATATCAAAATGGTATATGCAACTCTGCTTACATTTGGCCAATTTGATCTTAAGAACTTTGACTCGACTCGTAGTGATTTGCCTTTTGAAGACGATTCCTGTAACAATGCTGCGGAAACTTTTGTAGTCGATGTGTTGAGTGTACAATTTTGTATCAGTCAGGCAGTTCGAGTTCTTCCGTCTCTTTTAGTTTTTATAAATGAATTGTTTGATTCATTGGAGGCTGCAATTCTTGATCTTTTGATCCCCACATATGCTGCTAGGAGTCTTGATACATTTTCTGTTTATTGTACCTTTTTGGTTAACTGTAGGTGTCTGGGTCAGCTTGCGTGCCCTGGAAAACGACGAGGAAAAATTCCTTGCTTTGCAGGTTTCGATTTGTGGACCTGTGGGGAGTCTTTCTTAAAGGCCCAAACTTTATTGTCACTTTGTTGTTAGTTGAGCTAACCCTACAAGATTCTGTTTATTGTACTTGTTTGTTTGCGTGTATTTTTGTAGCAACTTGCTCATTTGTTTCATTTAGATTTCTATTGCAAGTCAAGGGTCTTCATGTAAACAACTTAAAGCAAAGTGTGCCTACATCCTACCCTGACTTATCTTTACGTGCGATTTACCGAGTCGTTTGGGTTAAATGTTGCTATGCGAAGCCATGCAGATCGAGCCAGAGACGATACTTATTCCTCTTCATGTTTTATGCTTTTAGACGAAGGATCGTGTGAGAATAGGAGTTAAGTTGAGAAGCGTAAGAAGGGATCTAGACCCTTGATCACTTTTAATCTCACCCTTTTCCATGGATTGTGCTTGATACAAGAATTGGTCCAGTACATCTCATCAGGGTTGATCAAAGGATAGAGATTTTCTTCTTACCCTTCTTATCATAACTTCCATTCTCATTGCAATCTAACCTTATGTTTTGATTCACTTTGTAGTATTAGAATCAGGGGTTGATTACTATTGGCTTATCGATTTTTATTGAACAAAATGACACTTATCTACCACCAAGATCCTCTTATTGCTCCATGATTCTAACCTTATAAACTACAGTAAACATTTATTCAATTTGTGTTGGTAAACTACCTCTTACAATTATACAAAAGAATCAATTATTCTGGTTAAACACAATTGCTTTCGTATAACAATTAATTATTCATTAAAATAATAAAAATTTATTTATAATAATGTCAAATCTTATTTTATCTATGATTACAAAAAATAATTATATTAAATTTTTTAATTAAGAATTGAAAAAAAACAACTGTAAATACCAGTTAAAGGTAGGCAAACTGATTAATTAGTTGGTTCTATAATCAGTTCTTACCCTCATAACCCCTAACTAGTTCCGATTCGTATTAGTTTAGTTTTTAGGAGAAAATAACATGACTGTAATAATCGATTAGACTGATCTTTTAACTTGTCCAAAGTTTTTTAGTTTAAATTGTTTTTTGTCATATAATAACTATTTTTTATTTTTTTACAACATTATTATTAACATATTTTTTTAAATAAAATATGATTTTTTTTATTACAATCAAATATTACTGAAATTTATTTGATTATGAGTAGAAAAAGAGAATTAATTAAAATTGCCATTTTCAGCTTGTGGTTTCACCACTTAGTTATTTCTCTATTTAAATCACCAAAAATGTCACTAGGTCTGTAAGTGACAAGTCCGAAATTCATGCAGGGGTGAAAGTGTAAAAAAAGAAAGTTTCTGAAACAGACCTGCAATCTGTAAAATTGATAGGGGTACGAAATGGCACTTCCGCCACTTGTGGAAGTGTTGTGACTAATTTACAGTTTTGGTCCCTGCAATTATTGTTCTAGTTCAGAAACTTCTTATTTTTACATTTTAACCTCTTTGTAAATTACAGACATGTCATTTGCCGACCCGTGATTTTTTGATAATTTAGGAGAGAAATGATTAAGAGATCTGAAAATAGCTATTTTAATTAATATTAAAAAAACACCATTATCTTATCCGACCCTGTACCCGATCTTAGGCCCACATACCCGAGGGTGCACCATAGAGGCTATGTTCCAATAACACACGATAACCCCCTCTCGTCCTGTTCCCTCATTCCCAAACCCTCTCGCAAAACCCTTGTAATGAACAAATCCCCAAATTAGGGTTTCAAAAACCATATTCGGTCGATTCATATCGTTCTTATGTGATTGCATCTATTGTTACGTTTAATAATGTCGTCGTCGCTGTTTATGCATCGGTTCGGGAAAACCAAGAGTTTAACGAAGAAGTCTACAAAGAAGTATTTGGAAGTAGCGCTTTACAGGCGGCTCTTCAAAGATGGTGGTACAGAGGTTAGTGTTAGACAAAACTTGAACCTGTTTCTTAAATCCAGAAAGAAGGCTTACAAATGGGAGGTGGATCACACACTCAAAATCCTGCGCAATCGCAAGCGTTATGCTCCTGCTCTCAAGGTGTTTTTTTTTTCTTTCCATTTCAAGTTTATCTTTGTCTTTCTATGCTGTATGGTGTTACGATCTAGCATCTGAAGAACCTTGTAGGAAATGAGTGTCCTTAATTACGAGCTTTATTCGAGATAGCGATAGAACTAAGTTATGAGGGTAATATGAGTTGTCAGTAGATGAAATGCTTGCTTGCAAATGTTACCCAATGATTCCATGCAAGATAAGTTGTTTTGCTTCAGGATCTTCAATCTGTTCTGACCTACATTTGTATGGAAATTCAACACAATTTTATTGAGAATAGAAGAAAACAGGAATGTAACCAAAAGTTTGGGTCTGCATTCAAGAGACAACCTTCTCTCCCTTGACTCTCAATTTAACCCTAATCGAATTCAAATCAAGCATAACTACTAATGTCTAATTACAACTTACAACCCCTATCCCTTATATACAACTAAATAATTTAAAGCAACCTTATAATTTCGTAGTTCACTAATTAAACATAAATGCATTGGGCCGTTGTCCATATGTGGGATTAACAATACTTGCATCCCAAAATGTTGCCTTGTCTTATTTGTCGTCTACTAAGAGGATGTCTAAGGCACGAGAGGAACAACAGTGCCATGGAGCATGATTTTTCGTTGCTTTTGGAGCTAAACCTTTGGCCTTCCTATCATGTAATTCTGCTTTCTGCCATTTTTAATCTCCTGTGGGGATCCTGCTGTTGCTCATGGTGATATTTCCTCATTACATTCGGTGATTAATTTGGTGGCCTTGGTGGCAAATTCACAATCCTCTCTCTTTGAAAGTATCGTCTCGCTATCCCCTTGCGCAATCAGCGGTCTTCATATTTTCGAGACTTTGATTCTCTGTGCGAGATTTATCAATCCCTTGGTTCCTGCAGCCTCAACTCAGATATCACCTTCAAACCCTCTACAAAGTTTCTTGCCTTTGCCTCATCAGATGCTCCTCAGACTCGCTTTGCTAATAACTCAAATCTTTTCCAGTACTCCCTCACCGTACTTTCTTGACCGAGGACGAAAATTGCTCCACTAGTTAGCCTTCTTGTGAACCTTAAAAACATTGAAGAACTGGTTCTAAAAAATCCTGTCATGCGGCGAGCGGTTGATAACACTCAACCTGTTGATACCATGTTAAAACTTCCCCTTCTAAAAACAGTACCATGGCTTCGAGCCCTTCGTACTCTGTTAATCCATTAACTGTTTCAACTTGATTCGACCAACCTAACACATCGTCTCCTTGAAATTGGCATTTTTAGTTTCTGGACGCAATACCTGTCCTTGTAAGTGTTGTATTCGTTCCACACTTGGTTGCGAGGTGGTCACCACGTTCCCCCATACTTCTTGCTACAAATCAATGATCGCATGCCCGTGCATCCCTTAGATCTCCTCCCTTTGTGGTTTCCCTTGGTGGCAAATAGTGAGGCCATTCAAATGTTGGTATTTCCCCTTCCTCATACCCAGCCAAGTCGTTGGGTGTTGGCCCAAATTTTTATGAGATCCATTCCTTGACTTCCTCCCAAGCCCATCAGCCTCCCCTTCTGATTTAACCAAGGTCGTCCAGGAGGAGTGTAATGCCTCCATTTCAAAATTGAGCCTAGCTGGTGCTCTATTGTCTTGTCCAAAATCAGTTCCGATGTTGGTGTTATTAGCAAATCCAAAAAAAGCCCAAAGGCAGGCCAACGTCCTTTATTTGTTTATGATGTAGTGTTCCAAAAACAATAATAATAATGGATCACTATGATTACTGTGAGTCATTTGCCTGGTGGAGATCAGGAAACCACTGTGCCTACAATAAACCAAATTTACGAAGTTCCTTTTTAGTTCTGTTTTCAACTTTGAATTACTGTAAGTGAATCTGTTTCAAACTTGGAGCCATCAATGTCACCATTAAAAACTAAAGTAGTTCGGCCTTCTATTTCCCGCAAAAGGTAGTCATTTGAAATAGGGTTATAGTAGAAGGTAGCATTGATGTTTTAGGCCCATAGCAAGTCTCATAAACATCAGGAGTCATCTATTGGGGAGCTTGTTAATCATACTTTGATGTATTTTTTCACACAACCTTTTAACATTTACAGCTGTCCGAAACTATGGCTGAGAGGGGCATGAACAAGACCGTCAGTGATCAAGCTGTACATCTTGATCTTATTGCCAAAGCACGAGGGATAAGTGCTGCGGAGGCTTATTTCGTTGATCTCCCCGAACAATCAAAAAACCACTATACATACGGTGCTCTGCTAAACCATTACTGCAAGGAACTGATGACAGATAAAGCCGAGTCTATGTTTGAAAAGATGAAAGAATGGAACTTAAATTTAACCTCACTTCATTATAACAGCATTTTAACCCTATATGAAAAAACTGGTCAACCCGAAAGAATCCCAGAAATCATACGGGATATGAAGACAGCTGAGGTAAAACCTGATGTTTTCACCTACAACATCTGGATGAGGGTGGTTGCTGCCATGAATGACATTTCTGGGGTTGAACGGGTAATCGATGAGATAAAGAGAGATGAGGGAGTTTCTGAGGATTGGACAACTTATTCCAATTTGGCATCAATCTACGTCAATGCCGGTTTGACCAGCAAGGCAGAAAAGGCTCTGAAGGAATTAGAAAAGAAAAACACCTACAAGAATCTTTCTGCTTTTCAACATCTAATTACGTTATACGGGAAGACCGGTAATCTGGTAGAAGTCTATCGTGTATGGCGTTCTTTAAGGCTAGCTTTTCCCAAAACCGCAAATATTAGTTATTTAAACATGATACAGGTTTTGGTCAAATTGAATGATTTACCAGGGGCCGAAAAATGTTTCAGAGAATGGGTATCCGGGTGTTCATCATATGATATTCGGATCGCGAATGCCCTTATAGGAGCTTATGCCAAAGCCGGTTTATTCGAGAAAGCCGAAGAACTCAAGGAGCTATCAAGGAGGAGAGGTGCAAAGCCTAATGCTAAAACTTGGGAGATTTTCTTGAACTATCATTTAGAAAAAGGGGATATCGTATCGGCTGTCAATTGTATCGATAATGCCATTTCAACCGGCAGAGCGAACGGAGAAAAGTGGGTCCCGTCGTCTACAGTCGTTCAGAAATTTATGACGCATTTCGAGAGCAGCAAAGATGTTGATGCTGCAGAAGGTTTTGTTCAGATTCTGGAGAAGGTTGAAGATAATGTCGGTGTTGAGGTATTAGAATCTTTGATCAGGATTTATGCAGCGGCCGGGAAAACGACTCCAGTTGTGCGTCGTAGGGTCAAGATGGAGAACGTCGAATTGAGCAACGAAGGTAAAACTCTTCTCGAAACTATATCGACCACATGAGTTTTATTTTTTTAGCAACCCATCTCTTAATTTTAAAGAGATTTTATGCAATTTTGTTTCAAATGTAAGATTTGAACCTGTTTTAAGCTTATTCTTCACTGTTTGATGTCTTGGTTTGCATTTGGACCTTAAAAGTACCAATAATGGATCCTTGCATCCAATCAAAGACTGTTGTGATATGAATGTTTTAGCATAAAACCATTTACTTAGGTTTTAAATCGGTATAGGGAGGCTCAGGGGAAAACTCTAAAAAAATGAAAAACTGAGGAACACTTGGTGGTAACTGTTAATTCGGACAGTATACATGTACATACAAATAGTTGAAGTTGTTTCTTGGTTTATATGTACGTGCTTTTTTTTTTGAAGTATATAATATTTATATACGGCAAATAGAACAAATAAACTCACACACCCTCCTTACCTTTGGTGAGGTTTGAACCCTTGACCTCCTAGAAAGCCAATGACTCACATACCGCTATAAATTACTTTTATACACGTGCATGCCGTTTCGATGAGCGGTTATCAGAGTATTTCTCATTTTTTATGGTTTTCCCACGAACTTGAACCAAAAGTTGGTATTCTACTATGCTTATTTATTTACTTCACAAGGTTAGGCCATGAATCAGGAACCACATTTTTTATTTAATATTGTACAATGAATAACTTGATAAGGATTCATGACGAATTTTGTGACAGATCGGGGTCTAAACGAGATAAGCCAAGTGGAGTATTAGGTTATTCGGGCTCGAACTTGAAAAAATTATACTAGACTCGAGCTCGAATAACTTTTTCGATGTAGTCTCAAGCTCGAGCTCGAATATTTTTTGAGTTATCGAGCTTGAGCTTATTGCTTGTTTATGGGCTTGTACTCGCGATCGATTCACTCGTTTATTGGGTCAAAGATGATAATTTTTATACTTGTATTGTATTATTTATGAACATATGAACAAGTTTTACTCGAAAAAAGTATATGCTTGAATGGCTCGACGTGACTTAAAAAATAACAATAAACTATAAATCATGTGGACGAAAATAACAGATGAATTATAGATCACACTGATAAAAATCGTAATTTCAAAAATATAAAAACAAAAATAGCAATTTTCAACAAATCATAGGGATGAAATAGCTGTTTTTAAATATGACGAAGAGTAACACTTGAGATTTTTAGTTCGATTTTGTTGGATGTTATTAATTACTAGAAGGGTACTCGTACAATGTAGCTAGATGCATCTCGATTTTAATGTTTTGTTTTATTTTCTTTTTAGTCTCAATCGATGTTATAATATAATTTCATGTGGTTTTGAGAAAATGATAATATTTGTATTTTTGAATAAAATATAAATATGAAGATATCATAAAAAATTGAAAAAAATATTGATATTAATATCAAACTAACTATTTAAACTTTTTTTCCTTTTATGTGTATTTCTTTAATCCGTTTTTTATTTTTGGTTTAATAATATAATTTTTTTAAAGATAATAATCAAGTATTTTGTTAGAAGTCGATAAATTTTAATTATATTTTAGATTTTTTATAATTAAAATGAGATGTTTATCATCTATTTGATCATGTTTATCTACAGTTAGTTACACGAATTCAAACATGAAATTTTAATAAGTTGTACTTACGCACAATTTGCTTGTAATCCTGAATTTTAAGTAATATGCACCAATAAGCAGTACTTCATGCATAAAAATGGTTTTTAAGACTTTTTGTCAATTGTTTTATAATATAATATAGATTATTATATATTGGTAAGAAATGAATTTATTACGGACAATTTGGATTTTTTCCAGGTCCTCCGAAAAATATATAACTGCCCCAATTGTCGGCAACCCCACTTGTAATATCATAACAAGTTTCGTTATCTGCCGTCACGATCAAATCAGACATCGAACTTAGCTTAAGTTCCTTATCAACCACTCGCATGTTCCTAATATAACACGATTTCTTAAACCCTTCGAATGAGAAGTGTCCGCTTCCCATTTGGGTCGATGTGTGCGGTGATGTTTGATAACTGAAAACCTCTCCCCCAAACATAACCGTTGTTGCATGGTCTCCAAGGTCTGTGAATAAACTCGATGGCCAGTACCCGACCACATGAGGTCCCACCTTCAACCACCAGATCCCGTATCTTGGACTCTGCAAACATTAAGAACAGATGGAAATTGTAACCACGTTTAAATTAAATGACGAATTTCCAAAAGGATAAAAACGAACGTCAACAATCATTGTAGAAATTGGAACTTTTACAGTTTCCGTTTCAATATGATGACCAGAATATTAGATCTTTTGCAAATCACGAAAATTAACTTTTGTTGCAGTTCTAATACAAAGCGAGTACATTTTCAAGTTCACAGTGCATTAGAAAAGTTAAAAATTTACCTTCCAGATGAATATAATAAGGTCGATCTGTATATCATTATATGTTGATATTGGAACTATAGCAGCTCCAAGTGCGATCTTATTGGTTGTTTGGACGAACCCCGAACACAGCAAATTGTAGCATCCAGTTTTAAAGTACTCATCGTTCTGTAATTTTTTAGTTTCAAACTTTTAGTACGAGTATCTAAAAACAGATAGAATACCAATTAATAAAGAAATAAGAACTTACAGTCCAATAAATAAAAAATCTAGAAGAATAGTCTCCAAATACCGTCGGATTAACCTACAAAAAACGAGGTTATAAACTATTAATAATTAAAATATATATAAAAATTCAAAATTTTCCAAATAAAAAACCCTACATTTAATTATGTAATAATATGGTGAATATTGAGACTAATATAAAAAACTCCATTATCGAAAATTCAGATTAAAATAATTTAAAATTAATAATAAATTATATAATTGTACCGTCCAACCAGCTTCAATAGTGTTCGTTAAATGGTTTGGAATCCCATTAGTAGAAATCCAAACTTGTGAAACGCTAAAATCACTTGGATTAGAAACATTCAGAGACCAGATATTTAATGCTCCTTTTGCTCCGTAGTACTCCCCTCCGTATACGTGTCCTGTCGCATGCTACATATACGTATGTACACACACACACACACACACACACACACACACAATATCTATAAGCAAAATTCAAAAACCTATTTTTGAAGAGAATTACTCGAAAGAAAAGAAATTATGCACCTCATGGCCATTTTCGATTTGTTTTTGACTGATTGTGCTAAATTTCTTTCCAAATTTAGAAAGGCGAACGGATCTGGAAATGTCTTCTTCACTTGTTCTTCTGATTGGAATTGTTCCTTGAGGACATGACTCCCCCTTTGAACTCCATATTTGCTTCAATTCTGGTTCTATTTCTACAGTTTTTTGTTCACTTGTTGGCTCTTCTGGATCCTATTTAAAATATCATTTATTTATCCAACATAATATCCATGTACTTTGGTCAAAACTAGGTATAACATCGTCAACAGTTATTGCACGAATTTTCGTATGCATACATAAATTATACACATAGCCGAAGATCAAATAAGAAGACTAAATATCGTAAGAGAAGTAGGAATAAAATGTTAAAAGTAGAGTTCATATGTGAATCACTGAAAATCTATTCGAAAATGCATATGTGAACCATATGAATAATCTGTAGCATCAGTTCATATATGCATCTTCAAATAATTTTTTCTTCCAGATTTTTTTAATAGATTCATATACGAACATTACCTTCTCATCTTTTCCCGATATTTACCTTCTTATTTGAATCAATTCTCACACACACACACACACACACACATATATATATATATATATATATATATATGTGTGTGTGTGTGTGTGTGTGTGTGTCAAATGCATCAAATATACCACTGACACCGTTCTGTTTAACTCCGGACGATCAAAAGCTGGTTGAAGATGAAACAAAACACAATCTATGATATCACCATCTGGACTCTGATTCAACAACAAAAGCAACCAATTAATATAAACAATTAAAATGGAAAGATAAATAAAATAAATATTTTTTATATATTAAAAGTTACCTGAATTGACTTAACAAAAGGCTTGTTGATTTTCTTAAGATGAGTTTTAATCAACTTCGTCTTCTTTGATTCATTCTCTGGTGGAAAAGTTCGGTTGTCGTGATGCATCGAAAAACCCAGAGAAAACAACAACAACAACAACAATACATAAACCAAAATGATTTGACGAATATGATGACACGAAATAAACTCCATTACCAAACGTGTCGGTACAGGTTTTCTTTGTTTTACTATTATTTTTTATTTAATTTTTCTTTTTTTTTTAACAAAAACAACAAATTTCTAGATTACAAGGATTCAAATGAAACCCAAAAGAGGATGTAACAAGGCTTATGTCCAAGAAATTAGAAATGAAGGACTATAAATAGTGACTTTTTTTTTTAATTTTTAATTTTGATTTTTAATTCAAAAATGAAATTTTGAAGAATATAAAGAATTAAATGTTGGATTTTGACCAATAAATGCAAAAGTAATTAATAATCTTTCTTTTTAAAAGAATGATAAATTGAATGAAAAAATAACGCACTTTAACTTGATTCATATTTTGGATAACGTGCTTTTGAATCTTTCATTTTAGTACCTAACATGTAAAGTTTTAAACATTTAAGTATCCGGGTAACCAGTTGAAGACTAATTTTAGATATAAAAAGACTGTTTTTAGATTAAAAAAAATTCATGTCACTAAACACGTTAGCAGATAATACTGAGTTAGATATCATATCACTTGTCACATCAGCATAATAACCGGTTAATGCTTCAATCGGTTACCCGAGTACTTAAATGTTTAAAACTTTACATCTTAGATACTAAAATGAAAGTTTTGAAAGTACGTTACCCAAAATAAAAATCAAGTTAAAATACGTTATTTTTTCATGTAATTTACCTTTAAAAAAAGTCAAAAATTGAAATTTATCATCAAATGCTTTCTAGTTGTTTGTCTCAAGGCCTACATTAAATGTTAACATTTTAATTTCATTTTTTTTCCAAAAAGATATGTTTATTTTTTATTTTACTTTTAATTAAGAAATTAAGAAATTTATTCCTTTATTTATTATTTAAAATATATTTGTAAAATAGTTGAAAAATTAGTTAATAAAATAATCATATTTGGTAAAAATAATAATTGATAAACTAAAAAAAAGAAGAAAACAAGATGACAAAATAAATCTATTAATAAATTACTCAATTTTGAAAAAGGAAACATAGCAAATTATAACATTATCTATACTATATTGTAAAGCATTTGATAAAAACTTTTAAAAACCATTTTTTATGAACGAAGTACTGTATATTGATGCATATTACTTAAAATTCAAGATTATAAATAAATTATGTATAAGTACAACTTATTAAAGCTCCATGTTTGAATTCGTGTAATTAACAGTGGATAAACATAATCAAATAGAGAATAAACATCTCATTTTAAAATAAAAAATTCTAAAATATAATTAGGATAATTATCGAGTTCTAACAAAATAATTAATTATTATCTTTATAAGAAAATTATATTATTAAACCACATATACATTAC